AGGTCTGATGATATGCATTTAATAACACGCTCCTGTATATATATATATATATATATATATAATATATTTTCATCGTGCTTTAAAAGTAGAATTGCTGGTATATCGATCTAAATCTCAGTCAATATCTGCTTTAGTTAAATGCAGTTGCAGAAAGGAGTACGGAAAACGGATCTGAACACTTTAGGTAAAAACGTATAAGCAACTGTAAGCCCCTTGTGCAAATTTCGTACTGACTTGAATTTTTGTCGTGTATTTTAAGAGTTGCCACTTAGCTCTCTAAGATCTAAAGATTTGAAATGCCTATTACCTTCTTAAAACTTCTTGAATTTACACTGGACATATTATAAAATGATTACAGAATTATTTGCAAGGCTTACACTTTAAGGAATTAAGATAACATGTACTACAGACAGAAACTGTCCTAGAATTTTAAGGACTTCAGGTGAAGCAAAATATTTTAGTTGCATTTTTGAATATTTTACTACGAAACGCGCAGAAACTTTCAAAGATAAAGTGTTTCAAGTTGCACCCAAGTTTATAAGTATGTAATATACAAAACTATTTTACAATTATAATTAAAATATTTTGTAATAATATAGAAACTAAGAAATATGAAATGTAACTAATTTCTAAAATTTATTAAGCTTGAATGAACTGATGAATTAAATAAATTTCCAACGGTCGCCAATTTTGCATTCTCTTGACTAGCAAAGAATCAATCTTTTATAGTTCCAATTCTTTCAACAAGTATAACTGTTAAAAGAATTTACTTCATTTGTACAATCTCTCCGTAAAATCGACTTTTTGTTGAACCATAATATCGCGTAAAATTGCGTTAAACTTGTTAAAGGACAGCATTTCAGCTCAAATTGAACCGTCGTATCGTGTAATTAAGTTTAAGAAGTTCGATAATGTAGTTCGACTTCGTATACTATTAAAGTTGAAGTAATATTGAACTATGATTTGGTTAAACACGCACTTAAATACTTAACAGTTCAAAAATGTTCATGTGCTTAATTTAGTTGCGTAACAGCGATAAATACCATCTGTTTATAAGAAGAACTAACTTACCAAATATGAAACCCCATAGGATTGTAACTGTTAAAATGTCTTCTGCAAAGAAACAAGCTCCAATGCTGATTACTGACCCCACATTTCCAAAAATGATAAGAGATTTCGTTTGGAAAAGTTGCTGTAAATATCCTTGAAGAGGACCTGAAAAAAGTGAGTGAGAATAAAATCTTATTAGATTAAAAATTAAAGGTCATTCCCGTAACAAATTTAGAATGTTCTATAAATACTTATATACTATTAAAATATGCATGCAAGTCGGTAATTATTATCAGTGATTGATGGTGTTTTTCTGAAGATGTTTCACGAAACATTTTGATTTTTTATGTTATGATGATAAATAAATACGACAAATTTTAAAATAATAGTCAGACGCATTTGTAACATAAAAGCATTTGATAAGTAAATAAGTATACCAGGAGAAGATATAATAATATGATAAAATACAATTATAATTTCATCTAAAATTGTAAATAATAATATCTGATTCGTATTATGTGACGATATGATCTGGCGGTGTTTCCCCTCGTATTGACTATTTCTCTTTATCCAAATTTATGCCATGAACTTATATGTAATATTTTGGACCGACTTTGGCGTGTGTTTAAGCTGTGATATTTTTGCGGGTTTTTCATATTGTTTTTAGGACGAAAACGTTAGCTTCAATGTTTCAAGACCTAGCATTGATAGGTACAGAGATAATGGGGTTAACCGATTAGACAAGCCTATACAGAACTCAGACCTGGAACTAATCAAGAATCTAACTGAGTTGGATCGAAGGAGTGCAACTTTAAGGAGATCCAGCATTGATAGGTAGAGTGAGAATGGGGTTAACCATTTGGACAAGTCTCTCCAGAAACAAGTCCTGAAACTGATTGTGAATAAGTTGGATCACCGAATTAAATAGTATCCACAATTGAATGGGTTGGTATACACTATTTTGGACGGCAATGTGCTTAATCAGTGACATTTTTAAGTATTCGACCTATATTATTTTCATGAAGACAATGTTAGATTCAATGTAACGAGTTCCAGAATTTATTGGTGTAATGACAATGTGATTAACCGATTAGACAAGCCTGTCCAAAATTGGTGAAGGTACTTATATGCCTTTTCCAAATAGATTGAAAGAAAATGCCACTAGCTGACGTTCAAGAACTTATAGATAGCATGTCTCGGAGACTTGTATCGCTAATTGCCCATTGTGGCAATTCGAGTTTCTGTTAGAGTACCAACTGTTAAAAGCAAATATATTTTCTTTTTTTTGTTGCTATCACAGGTGTTCAAATAATTATTGGTTGATCATGCTTAATAACTCATAGAAATTTTGAATTTGATAAAGTTCTCTATTGATATATAGATTTGATACCCTAAGTCAGAATCGTAATGATTTAATCATTGTTGTTGTCATATTTTCATAAAAATTCCTATTAGTTTAGTTCTTCAGAATAATCTCGCTTTTATTTTTCATAAACCCGCAGATATGTGCTCTCCTTTCTCTTTCAGAAATTGCATTTGCGACCTAGTAGCAAATCCGGAAGAATTGGTGAATTTTTGGGAAAATGGCACGTGGTATACAAAATATAATTACAGATTCGTTATTTTCAGCCGAAAATTTACGAGACACTCATATTTTTTATCTAATGAACATTTTCCATGCTGCAGTTAATTATTAAATTTTTCTACTCTTTTGATTTTTTTACATACTCACCACAAAGATGTCTCATTATAAAAGGCAGGATATATGGAAGAGATGCTTGGTTACGATTAACTTCAAACCGATGAATAGACTCCACGAAAAACAATGAAACCATTCTTGCTGAAGCGCCATAGAGGAAATTTATCATAAAGCAGGCAGTTATGATTTCAATACTTGCGATAGTTTCCGATTTCATGAAGATAGTTCAAATCTAACCTTCAACATAAAGAAAAGTAATAAAGTTAAAAATTAAATGAAAATATTTTTTATTTTATATGTATCAAGTTTTCGGAAAAATATAGAACATTTTATTATATTGAATTTGGTTAATATAGAAAATTGTTATTTTGACTGTTTTAGATGAAAACTTCAAACATAATGCTTTGAAAATTTGGTTATATTTCAAACAGATTAAAAAAAATTTCGGCAAAGAAGTCAGAATGTTTATTCCTTTTAAAGACATAGGTTTATTCTTTTTAGTAAAATATTTGACGAAACATGATGTCAAAACAGAGCTGACTGCGGGGACATAAAACACTCGTTTTCAAGCCAACTTATTTTACTTAAAACTATTTATAAATTTATCAAAAAATTTTACTACGTTTTTTTCCGCTTAGACCGAATGGCATTTTACCATTATAAATTATTTTTAAGTCTATATCCTAGAGACTGTACGAACCTGAATTTCGTGCAATTTGAATACGTAGGTAATGTTCTTTTTCAAACTCTTTTTACTCCGGAAGATAATTCAAAATTAAAACGTCAGAAAAGGTAATTAAATAAAAAATTGTATACTTCTTGAATTGATAATATTCCTTTTTTTTTGAAAATCATTCCGGATAATTTTTCCAAATTCAAACGCCATACAATGCAGTGAAAAAAACTTGCAAGCGTCTTGAATAAGTAATGTTCTTTATCAAACTCTTATTACTCCGGAAGATATTTCAAAATTAAAAGGTCAGAAAAGGTAATAAGATAAAACTTGTATACGTATTGAATAGGTAATATTCTTTTTTTTTTTTAAATCCTGTAACTCTGGATAATTTTTAAAATTAAAACGTCAGACAATTCAATTTTAAAAAAACTTACATGAGTCTTTAATAAGTAATGTTCTTTTTCAAACTCCCATTACTACAGAAAATATTTCAAAATTTCACTACCAATCGAAGCACAAGATTGTTAATACTTATCGGTGTTCGAGTTTTCAGAATTAATGAATATATTTTTTTATACTTTAAATTATCGTTACATAATTTTTATTTATCTTCAATCAAGCTTTTTTTATAATGGGCCAAATCACCCTCAAATAGGAAGATTTGATCCAGTTTGTACACGCTTGAAAAATAAATAATAAAAAAGATAGTTAATAAGTTAAAGAAAGCAAAAATAACGTAAACAGATAACAAACAGTATAAACTGTCAAATAACGTCAATTTGGAAATTTATTTATCATAGCAAAGAAAATAAAGAAAAAAATTTTGAGAAACATTTTGAGCGTGGCAAATTTTTCATGATATCATATTCAATTATCATATGAGTTATCAAGATGTGATTGCAGCTAATTGCACTTTTAAAAATGAATAAAATTAGTGAAATATATTATTTTATGAAGTGTTTTCGTAATCTCAAGTTGATCAGATTCTTGCTTTAATATTTATTATATTACTAGATAAATACCCCTTCTTTGCACGGGGTAAAAAAAAGTAATCAATCAGTATATCGTACAGAATTACATTACGAATTCCTGCACAAAACTGAAAGACTTAAAACAAAAGAATTTATAAAGCTAAAATAATTCCATTTTTTATAATTTGTCTCTCTTGGTTATTGAATTAAGAAAGACATGTTTTTAGAAGTTCATCCTATCAGAATTAAGATTAACTACATTCAGAATTATTTCACATCATGCTGTTGCTCGAGGCTAACTGATAATAGTCAAAATTTACAACAAACACGCGTTTTTCTCCGGTACTTATCTCTTTAAAAGAACAGTAAAAATCTCTTTTTACAGTTCACTTTATTGAAGCTTCTCAGCATTGATGTAGTTTTATAGGTACCAAATATATTAATATAATACATTGATACTATGATACTCCTTAACGAATTAGTGCCATTTCTCCATAAAGTTTGCTTTATAGTTCTTAGAGTATAAAACTTTTTTTTTCTCCTTCACTTAATATTTATTATCAAAATTTACTAAGGATAATTAGCGTCAATAATAGTTTGATGATTTGTTTACGCTTCTCTTAAACGGATTTGTACCCTTTCTCCAATAATGCTGCTTTTGACATCGCTTATTTTTAATTTCAATAAGTAATTGTCAAAATTAGTTAAGCATCAATAACATTACTAATATGACGATTTTTTATGTTTTTCCTAAATGATTTAGTATCATTTCTCTATTAATTTTGCTTTAATACTACATAGCATATTTTCATATTTTTTTCCATTTCATTTAGTATTTATTAGTAACATTAATTCAGCATTATTGGTGTCTATAAATTGTTTTTCTTAAAGGAATTTGTACCATTTCTCCATTAATTTCTTAAACAGCAAAATTTTTTATTTAATTTGTACAAAGTAAAATATTTATTAAGCCTTATTTGAGTCAATAATAGTACAGCGATTTGCTACGGTTCCCGCAAAAAATAAGTACTTTTTCTCCATTAATTTGGTTTCATTAAACATAACTATTTTTTAAGTACAGTTTTACATAATAACAAATTTAATCAAGCATCATTTGCGTCAATAAGAGTAAGGTGTTTTTTTGATTATCTCTTATACTAATTAGTATTATTTTTTCATTAATTTTGTTTTTCATTACATGACTTATTATTTCCTTATTTCAAGTACTGTTGATTTTATAACATGTATTTTTATAGATTCTCATTTTGAAAGTATAACTATAAATAAAATAAACAGATGGTTTAAAATAATTTTATGTATACTAATCAGGCAACGTAATCATCCAATGCTATAATGTTAATGCTGATCATTAAATTTATCTGACATAACACGCAAAAAATAATTTAATGTTACGTGAAGAACGTGAAAAAAAACTCCTTTTTCAATGAGAGTTCTGAGCTGGCAAATACTGCAAATAACACTGATGTAATGATTAAAATATTTGATGGAAAAAAATCGTCAGCAGCAGTATCATTTTAAGCAATGGCGAGTTCTAAACCAATAACCTTTTTCATGAGCCTCAACAGAACTAACAAATTGAAAATTTCCATTGAATTTTAGGAGCGGGGGCTTAATTTGCTTGTTGCAACCGATGTCCAAATTTCAGGATGATAGAACAAACAGTTTTTGAGTTATAAGAGAGACACATAGGCAGATAAACTCTTCATTTTATTATTATAGATAATTTTCTCTAGGTAATTGTTATAAACAATTTAAATGTGTTTATAAGAAATTGCCAATATTCTAAGTTTTATAAACACCTGAGTCATATATTTCCAAGTTTGCAACATTTTTATTTAAACCACTGTACAAACTTAAAAATATTATATACAGTTATATACGAAAGTATAAATACATTGTAATATTAAGAGAAAATTAAACGGTAATACTTAACGACAGAAATACTTAAATAAGAAATTTATTTTCAAAAATAAATATGAAAAAAAAGTCATCAACTTAGGAATATTAAGAACATCAAATTAAGAAGTTAAGAACATCAAATTCAGAGTGTTTTAATGAGAAATTTGAAATGAACGCATAAATAAAAACCAAAAAACTCAGAGTCCAAAATTTCTTGAAAATTCAAGAGTAAAATAAAGTATCAAAAGTATTTAGCAGGAAAAATATTTTTATAAAAAAATTATTGCATGATTTTTGCAAATCAGAAAAATGGTAAAAATTGGAAGCACTTACTGGTTTTTAAAAATCCTGAGAATATAGATGATTGCAGATGCTACATAATAAAATAAACGAAAAAATGAATATTTACGAACAAAAATATAATGTGATCTTTAATAACTAATCTAGATCAAAGCCTAAAAAAATATAGCCTTGGTGGTGTTAGAATTAAAGATAATATCTTGTAGTGGTAGATAGACAAAGATAATATCTTGTAGGTCGCACCGAAGAAGTTGTGAGAAACTTATTTAGTTAATTCGTTTTTTCGAATTCATGGACTTTTTAAAAAATTTATTAGTTTTTTCAAAATGATTGACGTTTACTGAATTCAGTTTTTAACGTTACGAGATAAAAAGAGAACTTTTTTCACTCAAATTTAATACTATCCTAATAAAGAGACTAAATATCATATCTGACCAATTGAAGGGAGAGAACTTAATATTTATCTTATTAATTAAGATTAAAATTTATATATTTCTATTATTAATGGAGATTAAATTTAATATTTCTTTATCTAATGGTGATTAAATTGAATATTCTTCTCATTAATTTATAATTAATTAAATTATGTCCCTTCTTAATGAAAAATAAATTTAATACTTCTTCTGACAATGGTGATTAAATAAAATATATTCATCTTGCAAATACAGATTAATTTTAAAATTCTTCCTATTCATAGAGATTAAATTTAGTGTTTCAACAATGAATGAATATTAATATTTCTCTAACTAATGAGATTAAGTTTAATATTTCTCTTATTAATTAATACAAGTTTTATTTAATCTACCACCAGTAAAGAAAAACGAATTTAATATTTCTTCACTTAACCCTTTGATGCAGAATTTTTGTTAAACATATTTCTCATATTTTTTCATTGTGTTGTTAGGTCAAAATAAGTAAAAAATGATTTAGTAAATGATTATTTAGGTCAAAATAAGTAAAAAATGATTTAGAAAATTAGGATTTAGGTCAAAATAAGTAAAAAATGATTTAGAAAATAAATGATTTAGGTCAAAATAAATAAAAAATGATTTAGGTCAAAATAAGAAAAAAATATTATATTTGGCATTTTAATAATTTATGGTTATGAAATACAGCATGGTACACCGTTGTTTTTTCCTGCGTTAAAGGTAAAACCTTCCAAACACGTCTCACTTCCAAACAGTAATTTTTCAAATTTACACTAACGTATTTGCAGTTATTTAGATCTATGAGCAACAGTTATTCTTCATTGAAATTTCTCTCATTTTATAAAAGCAATTATTGATAAATTTTTTCAACTTTCAAACTATTTTTTTGTTTTATATTTTCCTACAAATATAATTCCGATAAATTAACAGATGTTTTTAGTAACTATTATACTTATTTTTCATAATTAAAAAGTACTAAAATATATTTTTGCTTGTAATTGGAGCGTCAGAAAAAAAATATAAAATTTACACCGGTGTCCTATTTGCGTTAAAAGATTAAAGAGAAACACTGCTGAGGAATTTTTATTGAATTAAATTTTTCTTCTAAAAACATATATTACAACTTCTGAAAACGTAACATTTTTCTTCTAAAAACATAAATTACGACTGTTTCTTCTAAAAAACAAAACTTACACGAATGCAGAGATAGAATATTCATTGTTAGATTCTTTTTTTGTATCGATGTTTCGATAGAAGGTTCAGTACACATTGTACTGATAAGATAACAGATAGAATAAAACTTCTTCATCTTTAAATGGTATTTTCATATAACAGTACTTTTAATGCTTATAGGATATAGATAACAGTCTAAAACCTTTAATGTTCATTTTTGCCTCAAATTTTGTAGCATGCCTGATATTAAAGTAATTTTCGTCACAGCTTTAACTTTTTTTTTTCCTATCCAGTTTCATACATTTGAATTGATTAAACAGTTAACAATTACTTTGAAAATATTCTTAATTAAATTTGAATTGAGTTCAGAAAATTGAGCTCGCATTGCGAACTATTGAAAAAGAGCTATGAAAGCAGTTATAGAAATCTACGAGGTTATAAATATAATGACTAACAACTGAATTTAAATGGGAAAATGTCACATCTGTCCACCGTTTCTTTGTAATTTTTGTTACCATTAACATAAATTTTCAGTGTCCTTGAGATTATAAACATTGTGACTATCAGCTCAATTTGAGTGTGTAAAATGTTACTTCTATCCCTATGAAAGTCAATTTTCAATGTCATTGAGGCTATAAATATTGTAACTAACAGAGCTCACTTTGAGTGTATAACATGTTACTTCTGACCACTTCTGTTACACACATGCTACTTCTGACATGTCCTTTGTCACTTTTGTCCCAATTAAGTAAATTTTCAATGTTATTGCGAAACATGTTAAATATACCTGTTTATCTCGACCTTGTTTATCTTGAAATTTCTAAAATTTCCTACATTTACTGTCTAAAATTAATGTATTATGTCGAAAATTTGTTTTCAAAACCTCCGTTTCTCGAATTTCTAATAATCGAGCACAAATGTCAAAACTTTCTGTATCAGTAGAACTCGTAGACAGAGATGAATTTCGTGAATCCACAGGAGGTAGGGAGGAACAGGTTGGGGGTGTTTCTTGGAATTTCAATCACTATCCCTGCACTTCCTTAACTAGGAAGGAATACAATGATTCTAGCAGTAAGTTAAGGGTTAATGAGTAGTGACCATCAGGGCCATCTTTGTACCATCAGTAGTGACATCTTTGATCAGGGGTTAGCTTTTCAACATAGATAAGAAAGCTAAGAATGAAAATTCATTTTGACTTCAAAATTGCAACCAATGTTGAAGAGTTTTTTGAACTGTTTGTGCCAGCTAATGAAAGAGAAAATATTTTTTAATGTTATGTAATTTGTATCTCATGAAAGATAATGCTCATGTATGTCATGTCATTTGTATGTCCTGAAAGATAATTACTTTTAATTGATGCTTATTCTAGAATACTTGTGGTGATATTCTCATTAATTAAACTGACGGCTTTTCCTTTTTATCCCTGAAATCTTTAATTTAATTTTATTTATTTTCTTCATTTGTTTTGATAAATAAATATTTAATGCTAATATGGATTTTATAATTTTCTTTAAAGCCTTGTTATGTCACAATAAGCATTACATATTTCCTAGCTTTTAAAATTTCTTTCATTTCTTAAATTTATTTTTTAATCATTCTTAATTGAATTTTAATTAAATTAAACCAAAGATATGATTTTTATTATATTTTATAAAAAGCTAATATAAAATATTTTACTCTTTTCTTAACAATCAATGTAACTGCAATTTTTATTTCAATACTAATGTAGGACTCTTCAATTCTCTGACACGAGTAAATCGAAAACAAAAATCTATTTATAACTCTTTGTTTCTTACCACAAAAAATATTTCTGTTACATGGCATTCTTACAGTCTTTTTTGATGATTCACTTTTACAAAATTATAGATTATGGGGGGTTAGCTTTATTTTTGGCTATGTTATCTTTCGATAGATTGCCAACCATGGATTTCTTCCCATGCTCCTAACTGTCCGTTGGGAACAATTCATTTACTTTTAATTTCGAATTATTAGTGTGAAGACAGAGGAGCTTTGGGCCCCTCAATACCAACCGTTAAATTGGATATCTTAACAAAAATTCTTGATGTTAAGAGAATGATTTTCTTGATACCTTTGAGAACTTTTGTAATTTTCGAATGTGGCCATGTTCAGCTTAAGATTTACATAATGAATCAACTTTTCCAGAAACGATTTTATTCATTTTTCTTGATCCTTTTGAGGGACTTTTCTTTATTTTTATAATTATGGAATGTGGCCATGTTCTACATAAAAATTTACATTATAAATCAATTTTTACTAAAAGATTTTATTCATTTTTCTGGAATAAATATCCATACATCATATCCAAATTAAAATGTATCTGAAACGGCCATAATACTAGAATTCTACAAAGAAACTAAATCCTACCAACCACTATAGAAAAGAATTTGTACTAAACTGCTACAATAAGCCGAAGTATGGTTCTATTTTTATTTAACAAATATTTCTGTAAATTAAAGGAAAAATTGAAGTATAAAAAATGTTAGTATGCGTTTCAACTCATTCTTCATGAAATCATGTCACATTGTCTGATGTTGTTGTCTTTCTTCTTTTTGCCAAATGTGGGACAAAGTATATAATGAATCCAGAGAAAAAGGAAATACCCGTTAGAGTGTACATAACGCCATCATAAGATCCATGCTCTCCTCTGAAATAACCTAAAAATAATATTTCACATTACAAAATAATACATTTATAAATATGATAAAAAGTGCAACACTAAAATTAAGTTGAATTTTAACGGTGACATCGTATCAAGTATTAGTAACCTTGCCAAGTTTTTTTCTACTTAAACTTAATGAAAAATATTTATATTTATTTATATCCGAGAGAAAAGAGAAAAATTCTAGCAATCAAGAATTTAAACAGCATTGCAATCAGTGAAGCACGAAATAATACATTTAAACACGCAATACAACAGCCCCAACCCAGGTTGGACATTTGAGGGATCTCATTTAAACAGAGAGTGTTCCCTTAATTTTTGGAATTTTTACCAATGGAATTGGAATTAACCTTAATTTTTGGAATTTTTGTCGAAATTGAAGTAATTATCAACACATTATAAGGTTCGTAAATTAATAATTTAAGAGAGAGGATGGACTGAAAAATTTATAATTTATTTTATCAGGCGCTAATAAACATGAATTTTGACGGCAGTTAATCGAGTCACTCAAGCAACTGTTTAGTTTTTTTAAATATGTAAAAAAAAGTTAGTTTTTGTGTTCTATGAATTCTTAAATTTTTTTGGATTGAAAAAGTTAAGTTTTAACATTCGGTTGTATTTCATTTATTTATTTAGCTTTATAAATTTTGTAGCGTCCGTTTGAATTAATTTGATTAGATTTTACACCTTTTGAACTTTACTGCATACATACTGTCGTGTAATAACGTTTGTAATAACGTCATCATTCATAATCTGTAATATTTTATTCATTAGTTTAATACTTATATGAATTCGAATGGCAACAGTTTATCAGTTTATGCTTTATGGAGAATGTTAAGAATAGAAATGGATCATTTCTATTTTGTAGCGTCCGTTTGAATTAATTTGATTAGTTCCAAAGTGTACAGTTCCAAAGGTGTAAAACCTTTGGAACTTTACTGCATACATACACCTTATTAGCACTACTACAATACTACAAGCACTTTAAAGCAAAAAATAATTAAAAACATTAAAAGCTTATTATATTTGTAACTATAATCTCTTTCCCAAATTGCAATTAACGAAATTTTTTTTAGAATTTGAAAGAACAGTGGCATGTAATTGAAGGAATAAGAATGTCTGGAATATCAGTAGTAATGTTTAAAAATTTTGTATGTTTCTATTAAGCACAAATTAAAATACATCTTACCAATCATGGGAGATATGGCAAAGCTTAATGGTGCGTACAACATCGTTTTACAAACCATTGCCATACTTCTTTTCTCTGGTGGCATGTATTCATGTATTAAGGTAATTTGTGAAATCAAATTAGATCCAAAAAATAGAGGAAGCAAAAACTCAACAAACATCAGAAGTAAATAGTTATTGATGAACAATAGAGTAAGACAGGATAATCCAGTACCCACACAGCATATTGAAGTAATCGTAGGTGAAGGTAAGATTTGTTTGTCTATAACAAATCCAGATCCTATTCTTCCACATATATCTGCTAGAGCCAATATCATGACATAATAAACCTCCAGGCTAGCTCCAACATTTTTGTCGCGTACAAAATCAAGAATGATTGTAAACGTAACTGTTGTTATGTATGTTGTGCCGGTAGACATAAGTAGTATGATAATGAAGGATGGGTCTATGAAAATGTTAAAATTTTGAAGAGTAAAAGCTGACAAAGGCTTAGCTTTTAGATTTTTATTTTCTACAGGGAGGTTAGATTTGTTTTCAGTCTCTTTATTGACGTCAAAGTTTGCAGCTTCAGTCTCATTTGATGGAAATAAATTGATATGTAAGTTTTGGCTTGCATTATTATCACCAGGACATAGAAAAGACGGTGTTTTCTCAGTGTCTTTCATTTCAATACAACTAACTTTCATGTTAGCTTTTTGATTCTGAACTTTATTTAGTGAACTTTCTTTTGGTGATTTCAGTAACATAGAGAATGGTATAAAATTTGCCACGATAGCTGATAAAATTAAGAAAGATCCATTAAGTCCGTAGTACTCTATACATATTTCCATTATTAATGGCAACACTGCCCCTCCAAAACATCCTCCTGAATATGCAAAGCCATTAGCTTTACTTTGGTTTGTTGTGAAATGGGCATTAATCATTAATGGTAAATACTGAACTCCAATACCAAAACAAATACCTAAAAGAAATAGATAAAATATTTATCTTAGGCACTTACGTAATTATAACAAACTTAACTGTAAAATATTTTTATGCTATGCAAAATATTTTATATTGAGCAAAATAAAAATGGCAATTTTACATAAGCTTAAATCTAATGTAATTATAATGTTGCTGATTCTTTTCCGTTTGCTTGTTGCTATTTTATTTTATTATTTTTAAGGAACCAAATATGTGTATAAACTTTCTATTTAGTAATGAACAATATTTTTAGTTTAAAATAACAATAATAAATTTGGCAATAAACTTGCACACACTTTTCTTTACGGATTAATCTAGTTAAGACTAGTGTCGATTGAAGTGATAAGTTGCAAAATCTTGTAGCTCTTTCGCATTGGTGAAAAGCTTTTGCTCCAAAATGGCGGACAAATCGGCCTCTCTAATTCAGGAGCAATGATGCACAGGGGTCGATTGCTGTTTAAAATAGTTCAGTCAGATTTTTTCATCGTGCTTGAAAATTAAACATTCTTCAGTATTATCTGGCTCATATAGATCTAAATCTAGATCATCATTTATAGCAATATTTAAGTGTAAAGAAGAGAAAAATGTTCGGAAATTGGATTCAAATATTTCAGGTGAAACAGCATTAACTACTGGAAATACTTTATGCCTTTTATTAATTAATTTTACTTAATTTTTTGTCGAGATCTCTCATGAGCTACTGCTTAAATCTGCTAGATCTAAAGATCCCAAGTGCTGGTTACCATCGTGAAGCTTCTTTAATTTTACAAGGCATCTTGTTAAAGAAATTATAAAATTAAAGAGTTAATTTAATTGTTGTTAGTGACAGAGGCGTGTCTAAGGTATTAGCGGCGCTTGGAGAAGCAAAACGTATTTGCTGCATGCTCAAAATTTTTACTACGTGCGTTTTATTGAATGATTCCCGTTTATTAAAGTACCAGCTTTTACAAAATTTGTTATAATAATATAAAATTATCCAGTTTAACCATAATATTCAATTAAGATATTTTAATCTAGCTTTAAAAATATAAATATTGGAGTACCTAGCTAATCTAGGTCTAAACCTCAATTAGCATCTGCAGTAGTTAAACGTAGATATTAGCACAAATTAGCACGTATAAACAACACTTTGTGACAACCTAAATGACTTAAAATTTTGTCTTGATTTTCGAGAGTTGCTACTCATCTCTAAGATTTAAAAATTTGAAGTGCTGATTACCTTCTTAAAATTTCTTAAATTTACACCTTACACATTGAAAAATGATTACAGAATTAGTTGTAGGATTTACACCTTATGGAATTCAGATTATCTGTAATAGTGACAGAAACTGTCCTAGATCCTCAGGCGAAGCAAAAGTTAATACTTGAATTTTTTATTTTCCTACTATGAAACGCACAACAACATCAAAAGAAAGTGGTGAAAGTTAAAACCCACAAATATTAAATACAATTGAAATACAAGAGCACTATTGTAAGAAATTAGTCTAATGTTGATTAGTGTTTAACCAACATACAAGTTTGCGACATTCTTTAAAGGTGTTAAATTTAACAGTATTTCGACAATTTTGAACCATAGTATCGAGTTATCTAGTTTATGAAGCACAATAATATGGTTCAACCTTGTCTCATATTATTTTCGCAGAAAGTTTTTAAAACTAGGAAAAAGTTAATAAGCTTAACCTAATTATGTTTCAGTGATCAACACAATCTGCTTATAAGGAAAACTAACTTACCAAATATGAGACCCCATGAGATTGTTATTGTTAAAACGTCTTCTGCAAAGAAACAAGCACCAATGCTGATTACTGTCCCCACATTTGCGAAAACAATAAGAGATTTCGTTTGGAAAAGTTGCTGTAAATATCCTTGAAGGGGACCTAAAAATAGTTGAATTTTTAGACAGTGAAAATAAAATTTTTATTACACTAAAAGCAATGCCTTTTTCTTTTTCCAACTTAAAATGTTCTATAAAAGCTTTGACACTTTATAAATCAAAGTTTAACTCCGTCCCGCCCCCGTCAGGAGGCATCCGGAGAATACTGTAGACTCTAAGTGCGCGCACGTGACCTCTCAGCAAAATAAAAAGAGGATTAAAAAAGGTAGGCATGGTGGCAATCCATGGCAACACGTCGGAAAAATGGGCAAGAGAGGCTGAAGCAACTCCAGGGAAAACCCTGGTTGATGTAGGTTGGGCGCCGCGCGCAGAGCAGCGACCTCACCAAGATCCGAAGATTCCCTGCTCCCTACCAGAAGGCCTCAAAGAATTTAGTGAAATCTTGAAATTAACAAAAGTAGTTACTCAGAAAATAGAATTTAGAAGTTTGAGTGTTCAAACATAATAGACACGGCATCAAAAAAATAAAAAAAACATTGAAAAAAGGTAACAAACATATTATGATGATGAAAAGTACCAGAATTTGTCCAAAGCCCATGAAAACAGATACAATTTCAAAAAGAAGAGTTACGGCGAGACAGCCGTAAAGAAACATCCACAAACAAGAGGAAACACAAAACATGAATAGTTAGAAAATTTGACAAAATTTTGAACAATAAATTAATCGAAAATCATTTCTAAAGAACACAAATACAGTATTTGCGGAGGTTACAAAATAACAAATAAATAAATAAGTAAATAAATAAATATATATAAAAACAATAATTAAAACAATAATAATACTATTACCATACAGAAAATTGTTAACAGTGAGATACAATTCATGCATTACATGAAATGTAGTTGATTGTAAAGCACACATTTGTTGACGCCGTCTAGTCAATTTCCCTTGTAAGGAAAAGGCGTTCCATTATTTTAATGATTCCCTGTTTGACTTTCTTCTGCTTCCAAAATAATTTAAGTCAAGTGTAATTTAAATGTTAAATTTTTCTGAATTTGAATAAATTGATTTTAAATTAATTGAATTTGAATAAATTGATTTTAAATTAATTTAATTTGAATAAATCTTGAAATTTACTGCAATTTATTAAAATATGTTCTAGATTTTCAAAAGTATTGCAGAAGTCACAGAGAGCTACCTTGCCAAAAAATCTAGCCTGGTGCTCTCCGTAAGCCCCGTGATTCGTGAGGAATTGATTAAGAAAAAAATTTGCTATTATTTTGTTAGTGTTAACTCTTGGAATTGATTGATGGTCATGTTTACCCTTTTCCTCACTCTCCCATCTTCGCTGCCATTCGTTGATCAGTAGTTTTGTTATTTCCCTTCTAGTAGTCCCTTTCGTTTGAATTTCATGAATGTCGATATATGGTTTTTCACATGCGGATTTTACGATTTTTTTCGTTACCCTCATTTCCCACTTTTATAAATAGCATACAAGTGAGTAATTATTATCAGTTTATGATGATATTTTTTCATAATCATTTCACAAAACATTTTGTTATTTTATGCTATGGCGATAAAAAAAATGCAACATATTTTTAAAATAATCGTAGGACGCATTCTTAAGAAATCAGTATTTGATACATAAATAAGCATACCAGAACATGTTATAACATGATAATGAAGTAACTAATAATATTATCAAAATGGGCTGTAATAGTGGCACAACTAAAAAAAAAAAAATCATGTTTTGAGATAAGTGGGTTTAAATTTTCATTGCTAAGCAAAATGCATAAGAAATGCTTTACTTTGCTTAAACGAAGATTACCTTCAAGTTGAATTATGAGTTGTGCCAGCATTGCTGCAGAAAGAATGCGTATTTTCATATTTACGCCTGTTCTTAGTCCAAAACGCGTGTTGTTTGAGTTGTGTCAAAATTGCAGTCCATGAGAGAAATGATTGTCATCTGATAATGTTACATCTTGATTTGGACGGGAAGTTATGGTCTACATTCATGGTAAGCTTGATAACAATTTCTACTACCTTGTTTTGGATTGCCATGTGTATCTCAAGTTGTGGAATTTTTACGGCTTGGACACATGTTATTTTAACAACGGGAATGCTCACTATCATATTGAAATGCTCACTATTGACTGGTATAGTAACAATGGGATAAATAGAATGAACTGATATGTCTTGAACACAGACATATGAACCATATCGGGAAGCTTTGGGATGAGATGGATCACCGAATCAATCATCATCGATAAGGTTCGTGTCAAAAACTGGTGAAATCACTTACATATCTTCTCCTAGTCGAGTGAAAGAAGAAATTACTAGCTGACACGAAGTGCTCAAAAGAGCGAATACCTTAAACAACTTTGAATCTATTTATCGGAATGTTACGTACTTGGGTTTTACTCTTAAGGGTTTGGAGGGCAAATATGATATGACTGTTTCAAGCTCTAAAAGCTTAAAATTATGTAAACGGGGTTTCTACAATCCACAAAACATAGCTTTTATAGTTTGGACAGACTACTAATGCAATGTTGTAATTTGAATAAACAATATAATTTCCTATGTTAATTTTAAATGTCTCATGCTTTAAACACGTACGATTTTTTCAGTTGATGAATTAATCTTTTAATTTCTTTTCAAACAAATTGACAAGACAGAATTCCCTATAAGTAATCTGCTATTATATATATTTTTAAATATTCGTTTCTAACATTGATAAAAATGTACAGCGAATTCGAACATTTTTCTGACTTTTAGATGAAACTATATGATTCTGTACATAAAAAACAACCAAAGAAATCACAACCAAAGAATTTTATTACGTGCCATTTTCGTAAAGAGAAAATTAGGCAAGTTTCTAGTGAGTTCTCCCTGACATTTCGTTTGCTAATGCATCTAAAGCGCTTTAATTTTGGAAAGGTAGCTAAGGCTATTGTCACCTGATTGTCGCCAAAGTCGACAAGATCGAAAAGATAGTCGGCAAGTTGGCGACGATCCTACTGTCAATTAAAAAGCATTTCCTTTGCCTATAAGTTAAAAAGAGAAAAAGCCACCAAGCTAAAATGTAGGATTCAATGAAAATGGTGAGGAGTACTCAAACTTTTTTTTATAGATTCATAAAATTTACTCAAAAATAACCA